AATCATCAAATATACCGATCTGGATGCCATTAATGGCAAATTTTTCTCGATGTAGTGCAAGAAAAATAATACAGAAGTCTTAGTGAGATAATCTTGAACAACCCATAAGCCCTGAAATAAATCTTGCCCCAAGTTTTCAAGTAATGCAATTCGCGTACTCACGAAATGTGAATTATAACATTTGGCGGAAACAATATGCGAAGAAGAACAAAAAGCTTCAATATCACCATTACGCAAAGCATCGTTTCTGTGTGTGCAACGATATACAAGGTTTAATTCCGCAATGCTACCAACTTACCTCTCCGACAGCGACCGAGTGGATGACAAGTTCGATAGCAAGCGCCAGAGCAGGCGAGCCCCTCTTCGGCCTCTTCAGCTCGCGCATTTTTGTATGCGGCCATGTGTATACGTATTATATATATCTGTATAGATGGTGGCTTGCTATGTGTGTGGCTTCGATAGGTATTGATATATTATTCCCAATAGTTTGTGCGCGTTACTCGTTCGGCTCTTCTCCACCTACCAATTGCGCATATACATATATGCACGTAAGCGCCTTTCCTCCGCCTATCGCCGCCGCTGCTGCTGCTGCTACCTCTATACACACATATCCACGATCCACATGCATTCTCGTTAAACTCGTTGCTTTTTCGTCAGCGCCCCGTTTTTTTCAATTATAATTCTTTTTCGTATCCAATCAATCATTAGTATTTCCATTGTTCTTCGACATTTTCATTTGGATTCTCTCTTAGCTTTTGCTTCTCGATTTTTATAATATTATACCCGAGCAGCATACAGCACACACATTTATATGCGAGCATAAAAATTCGAATATGTGCGGTTGAGATACCTCTTGTCTTTCTGCGAACGTTTGCTGGTATTTGTTATGCGAAAGATTGAATGGTGCTGTAAGTGTGAATAATATGGGTAGATGCATATTATTTTTACCTCAACGGGATTTAAATATTTGCTATTCTTTCTGTTACGTTTTATCGTGTGCTCTTATATTGACAAAGGTATTATTATTTGACAAAACTTCGCATGGATTCTATTCTTTTGTCGGTTTAATTTTATCACTTCATTTTTTCATGTGACCGTTGTTTAATTAATCCAACTTGTTTGAATACATTGATGTTCTGTCACAAATTTAGCATTATTACGAGTTGAATAAAAAAAGTTGCTTGGAAATAATACCAAATCTGAAAAATTTGGAAATTAGAATGTGTGCTTAGCTGAAAAAATGATTGCATACATAAGATATTAGAAAAATATACGTTGATTGTAACGATTCCCGATAGGAAGCGCTAATCTTATTCCCGCAAGAGAAAAATAAATTATTACACATATAAATAATTTCTATTATTTATACTCTCAGGGTGAAAATGATCTCGGTCCTTCATTTCATCATTTCATTTAAAAATTCCATTTCATTCATTGGATAACCGAGCATTTTCACTCCTCCATAAAATAATAAAAATTGAAATAATAAATTAAGCTCCAATCTCTATACACTCAAACAAAAATATTTTTACTCTTTTTCTTCGTTCACTTGCACTTCAGCTCAATAAAGAGACAAGGTTTAATGAGGAACTTTTTACACTGAATAAATTTATCAAAACAGAAAAAAGGTACCATAGGTCGAAAAAGGCATCACATCTTCGCATCGTCTATGTGAAACCGAAAAATGTTTAACACGTGTACATTAACCACTAAAAAGACCAACTATTCTGATTTTAAAAATTTTCAAATTTAATTTCATCTTATTATTATGTTGCATACCTATTCATCTAGAGGTTTTGAATCTTACAAGTTAAATCATCATACTAGTTGAATCGAACAAATTTTCGATTTTTGAGATTAGATGAAAATCTAGCGACCAAAAAAAAAATAAAGCCAAAAAGCTCGCAGCTGAGAAAAGAATTGTAATCAAGCTTGTACGAGTTAAGAGATAAAGCGCTTTGTCATGAGTTAATTACAAGACTAAACGAATGCGCACAGTCAAAAGCCGATTGCGCGACTGGCGGTTTCGCTTAAAAAGAAGAAGTGACCCCTAAGCTAAATTTTCCAACGCAGCAGCAGTAGCAGCAGCAGTAGCAGCAGCGTACGTCATATCCAACAATGTAAATTCGAATGCATCTCATGCGTTTGCAAGGATAAAGAGCTCGAGAGAGAGAGAGAGAGAGAGAGAGAAGGAGAGAGAGGGGAGCAAAGAGAAAAAGACAGAACCGACAAAACGAATGAATTTCCGACCATGCATAGACCCTCACACACATACGCGTACACCGAAGTATGGCTATGCGACGAGAAAGGGTTGCGAGAAAGACTTTGTGTGTTAGCCTGCGCTCGGGCCAATGGTTACGTATACTATATAAGGCCAGAGTAGACAAACGCGTGGAAAAATGTTCGCGGGGGGTAGTAGTAGCAGCAGTAGTAGCGCTAAAGCGGCGGTAGCAGGTTTGGAAATGAGATTTGCTGGTAAACCGACAATTTATCGCGTATGACCAGCGAGAGAGAGAGAGAGAGAAGAGCGCGCGGATACTATCAGTCTAAAGTATCTCTCTGTCTTTCTCGCTCACTGCCGCGACCAGAGAGTTATAATTAATACGCTCGTCATACACATATCGGACTGCGTAGGCTACTGTTGCCGCCGCCACCGCCATGTATACAGGCTGAGGCACACACATATCATGCATCAGATTATATACTCTCTGCGTGCATACGTAAAGTAGACTCTGCTGATTAAGTTTGAATGGCTAAGGCCACAAAAACATATTAAAACTTGAACGAGTTCAGATGAAAATTTGGTCTCTCGAAATCAAATAACCGCAGAGCAAATGGCTTGGTGGTCAGTATAGTAGCGGCATACATCCACCGCTATAGTGTTGTATGCGTCGCACCGATTTATATACCCACGCGCGGTATATACGTTTGTCTCTACATATTTTTGCACGCGCGCGTGTATGTATGTGCGTGTGTATTTCGAGCAACAGACACACCACTCTGTCAAAATATCCATGCTGCTGCTGCGAGGCCAAAAAACTCGCGTCCACGCGACTAGAGAGATGACTTCAGTTTATCTATATACCACCGCATGGTTTGTCTCTCCCTCGCACGGCCTCCACAGTGTTATAGACCATAGACAGTGGATTGAATTCGAGCTTGGCGGCCGCGACTGTGCAGGTGCAGCACACATCATAGTTCACATGTGCACACACACACACACACACACACACACACACACACACACACACACACACACACACACACACACACACACATACTCGCATAAAACGCACTCTGTAACTGGCTAGGCTGAATTTGATTTCAATTGATAAATGCTGACTCGATCATAGATCGGTCAGTTTTTTGGCGTTCTGTCAGACTATATATCGATGTTGCAGAGATTGGTTTGTTTACTTACGAAAACTATGATCATACATTCCATGTATATGTGTAGATATGCGCCGCGTACCGACGTCGCCACATCGTTTTTTGTTAATGTCCGATCGCGAACAAGCCCGTAAACTGCTTGTAACCCTGTGACTTTTCCAAGCTTAAATTGACGAATCGAGTTATTGGCACAGCCCCCCAAAAAAATTTTCTTACCGAATCGATATTAACAAAGTAAAACGAACTCGCGGTTCAGACAAACTATGATTGATTGTTAGGTAAAAGATAAATTTCTGTTTTTTCCAATTATTAGAATAAAATACAATAGTCTGATAACTCTTAGATCTTATTCTCATTGTTGAATGAAAATTTGATCAAAATTAAGACCAGTCTTTACAGCTAGATGGCGAGTACTTTTATTCGTAAATATACAAGTGACAAAGTAAACATAATTTCATAAGTCAATATCGCCATTGTGTTAATAATAAGTTTCTTGGCACAATCTTATTGAGCAATTGAACTGCCTATATTCTATCAAATAAATTTCTTATACCACATGCGGTCGATTCAAATAAAATCGGCACATCGGGGATAATCCTTAGTACTTATAAGTTAATAGTTCGAAAACATATTAACAACACTGTTACGCAAACGAAAACAATGTACAAAACCAAAACTCTTTATGGTTCATGAAATTTAAAAAAATCAAGTAAAGAATATTAAAGAAAAAAGAGACAAAGTATCAATATGCATCCTAAGGAGAGTAAAGATGATCAAGTAATGTAAACTATTAAAAAAAATTGGAAATAAAAGTTATAAACTATCGGTCAATGATATAAAAAATCTTACCTAAATAACAAAATAGCACTGCCATCTACCAATCAAAGTTTCACATACTGGAATATTAAGATTCCAACGCTAGCTTTTAGATGGCGCTAATAAAGCGATGGTGAAGCGGAAACTTTTGACAGTCGGTAAGTGTTACCGACCGATATTAATTATTTGATTGTTGCAAAATTTTTTATAAATCATTTATTATAGCATTACGAGCATTTTAATACGTTCATAAAAACTAAAATAAAATACATATTTTTAATTATTTATGTTGTTTTAGTTGGGTCATGAAACAATTTACCATCAAGATGTCATTCAGAATAGTTCTGCATTTATTTTTGAGTGTGATAATTTTAAATGGAATATAGATAGTTGTAATTCAATTTTTCATTTAAGTAATTATTACACACATTTTCCTTTTAAATGAAAATACACGACTACTACGTGCCAGAATGATACCATGCCGATTTATCGAGCAAGTAACTAACTTCACATTTTTATCCAGTAATGAAACATTTTTGAAAGGGATAAAAACATTAATCCATACTAAGATAATTCCATTGAGTGTTTGTTACAATTTTAAAAACAAATGTTAACACTCGGGCGAATCAGCTTTAGAGCTTTCATTGATTTTTACTTGGAAACTCTTTCATGATAATACATGTCGTGGTATTGTTTGAAAATGAAATGCTGTTTTTTTTTTAGGATTTTTATATCTATAGACATTCACAAAAGAGTTGTGGAATAAATGAAAAAAATAGTTGAATTGATATTAATTTATGTTCATCAGTTTTATTTTTCATGACTTGAAAGTAATTATCACAAATCTTAATACTAGAACGCATCTTCAATACTGACCACAACGGATCTTTTACAAAAGCAAATTACCACGTAAAATATTGGTGTGGAAACAACGCGTAATTGATTACCAAAATATATACATATTTACACAATAGATGAATAATAGAAAATATTCTTAAAGCTCGCATTATACATTAATACATTCATACAACAAACTTCTAATTTATTACTAATAAATTACAATTGAAATACAATTGAAATTAATTTATTAGCAGAAATGTTTGTAACTCTAATGAAACTATGATGTATATTTTTGGTAAAAATATTTCGTTTGAGGCTTTGACGACATCGTTTAAAATCACATTTCATTAAAAGTATAAACAACACAAAACATACCCGTAAGTTTAAATTTACACTCTTATAAGGCACAACATTACAGCTAAGGACAAATTTCATACAAAAAAAGAAGTTTTTCAGCAGTTTACAAAAAGTTATCGCGCTACTTATTGAAAACAAGTCTTACATCTCATAACTTGGTTTTTTTCACTTTATATGATACACATTCATTTTTATAAATTTAATAATATCGAACATTAAACACGAATCAACAATATTTAATGAATAATTCTGATTAAGGTTCGATTTACATTTGGTAAAACAAGCGAATTGGCTAAATTATCATAAAACAATCTACCACGGTCTCCACATATCGTTATTCGCTGATTGCGAGCTCTCGGAACTCACAACTGGCGTTATTCTTTCTACCTCCTGTGAACATTCTTCTTTGATTTTAAGAGATGGACTATGTGAACTTGGAGAACCCATGGAAGCCGCTGATGTTGTCGCTTCGTGATATCTAGGTCTTTTTTCGGCCACGGTCAACAAACCATCCGAGTGATGTCTTTTCAGACCAGTTTTAGGCAATTCTAGCGTTCTGTTGTACTTATCAGTAATAACGGACAGGGGTTGACGATAACTTTGTGGAACTGTATTGAAGCCTGACTCAACAATATCAGCCTCTCTCTTCGAGGGCTCGACTTTCGATTGTTCGATAACCGGCGAGATTCTGTCGCTGCTCGAGCTTATCTGTGGTTTTTGTGTTTCAGGCGAGGAAAGGCTCTTGGACGAAGACGAAGCCGGACTTTTCTCGGGAACTTTGAAGCGCATCTGTGGCGAGAGCGAGGTCGGATACTGTGATTCGGAATGATGATTCTCTTCGAAGCTGGATGTCGAAGTTGACGGACTCAAGAGTGGACTGTGAGTTCTCTGCACCGCCGTGAAAGCCGAAGGTTGACCTAGACGAGTATTGGCATCGGCGGCTGGTGGGAAGAAGGGAAAATTAGCAGCGATACCAGACGACGGAGGTACCAAGAGAGCGAGTTCGCCGTTTGGCAATCGACTCGGAATCAGCTGAACGTTGTTTGGTATTTGAATGCGAGAACTTCCGTTGTTGTTCTCGTCGCCGCTCTGCCCGTCCGATGGGAATCCAACTTTGACGTCGGAATATATGCGATCTTGCATAAAAGGTACGTAGTGGTTGTAGTAGGGCGAGACTTGTTGAAGGTTGGTCATGCAGTTGTTGAGATGACTGACTAAGCGCTGTTTCACGGTGGGGTCAACGTTTTCCAAATGATTGACGTATCGGTTGACCTCGTTGGCGCATTCAGAAAAACCTGAACGGAATTTGGTGAGTACGGCAGGATCGCTGGCGACCGCTGTCGTTAATTGTTGACGTTGGATTTGCTGAAGATGTTTCACGGTCATCTCCAAGATATCGGCCTTCTCTAATTTTGAGTGTCTTGTTGGCTGTAATTGAAAAAAAAAGATTTATAAGATTTTGTGTTTTATTTTTTAATGAAAAATTAGAAAAATTGTTGTTTTTTATTGTACGATGTTATTCTAATCATGGCTGCATTCTACATCGTTTAAATCTCAAGCATACATTGATTATAAGGTATACATGATTATACTCTACGAATGGTCGTATAATATTTTATTTGCTACCGAATTTGGGCTTTCTTGGAAAGCTAGGGTTGAAAAAAAATCTGAAGCTGATGAATAGTTCGGAAGATAAATAAGCTCCAGGAAGCAGAATAAAAATGAAAACAGAAGCGCGCCGAGATAAAAAAAAAGATGAATAGCACCAAGACCTTTCATCAGTAAGTCATTATTCTCGTATCTATATAGTTATTTATATGGTAAGACCGCCAAAGAGCCCACAGAATCATCGACCGATCGCGTGTTATAAGTACGTGATCATTTCGAAAAGTCAAAACTTTTTTTCGAGGGTCAGAAATATATTATCTCGGTCGACTTTGCGTACCACTCCGTGGGAACTCGTTACCAGTCAGCGCGCTTATTATTGCAAAGCGTGGCAAATGAAAAAAAAAAGAAAGAGAATAGAAATATCGTAGAAAGAGTAAATAGAGCGAGACGTCTATACATATTCATCGTAATAATAATCGTAACTATTTCCGAGTTTTAATTTTTGTTTGGAGGCATCCGAAAAAATCCAATCTCAGAATTGGTAGCTATTTTGCGAGTAAATTATATTTATTTAGAACTTATAAATTTTCCGAAAAAGCCCATCAAAAGAGGCTAGAATGCATTTTAAAATCGATTGTTTGAAGCATTATTTCGCGAGTACATTGGCTTTTTAGATTCACATCGACTCTTTTAAACACGCGTATTCATGTTGTACAGTACATAAGTCTATTCCGTTTGACACGAGTCGACAAGCAGGGTAATGGACAATGAAGCGTGGGAGCACATTTAACACTGCTGCGAGCCAACTGCAACAAATACAGTCGCTATTATACAGGCGAGACACGCTTATTCAGGTTTATATACATTTACTATGTGTGTAAAAGATCCAGAAATATCCGGGTCGTTATTTTTTGATCGTAATTACAAAATATATTGTAATCAGTCATGTTTTTAAATACGGATTAATGTCTCATTAATATCGTCGCTGAAAAGCTCGAATCACGACTCTGAAAATATAATTACTTCAATATCTGTACAGGAAAAGTCGTAATCTATAAGCGATATTACAAACTTTCTTGTTATTCGGTGTCTCGACCATACGAGAAAAATACTTAATTCGAACAAAGTGGGAAGGAAGAAAAATTAAGTCGGTAAATAGACACCCTCGAAGAGTGAGAGAGGCGAGCTCGAATGGAGCACCTGTTATCCACACACACACACACACGATGCATTTACCCTCATGCGCGCACGAGGGGAGAAAACGAGCGGCACGTCCCCTTCTCTCTCTCCCGTCTAAATATATACCTCAAAAAACGCTACGCTCCCACGTTCCGACACACTCGCTTGCGCACACACACACACGCGCGCGCGCGCACACACGAACGCGATCTTTGCGTGGCATGAATAGAGGCACGCGCGTGTGTGTGTAAAAGTGATGTGGATCATCGAAAATGATACGGTCAACGCACACATAAAAAGCAGTGCCAAGGAGGCGAAGACTGAATAGAAGGAAGCCCTCTCGCTCGCTCGTGCGCTAGAGTACGCTACGCTGCAATGCAATCCGATGCGGAGAGCTCTTTTTAATAATTTTTAAGGTTCCCACGAGAGAGCCTATATGTGAAGTAAGGAGGCGTTACACGCGCACACAGACGTATCGTTGTACACAAACAGCTACACACGAAGCTTTAAGAGCTTCGCGCAGATTGAATGAACCGAACACTTGCATGTGCCCGTCTGCTGCCTGCTATGTATTGATATTTATACGACGCTGATGATGTCGCAAGTGTAGTATATATATATGTATATGTATATACGTCTCGGCTACTGATAGGTACTATATTATATCCGCTTTATATAAACGCGAGATTAGATTTATATTAATATGTAAAATTATTTCTGGCAAATCGGTTTCTGATAAATTTTACCAAATCCAGCAATACCCGTGCGAATCAATCAGAAGAACGATCAAATGTACACGGTCGGAGCCCAAAGTGATAACGAGCCTGTATACGTGTTGACATTGCGAATGTAAATTGCGTAAAAAAATCAGTCGGGGCTTTCGACGAATTCAGGAAAGAAAGATCATTATTATGGTCGCGTCTTGAATTGAAATGAGTCAGCGGCCGCGCTCCGTAGCGAAGTAAAAGTTTGCGGTCATATTAATGATGCGGCAAACGCTCTTGCGTCCGTGTCCAAGCCGCGCGCGCGCGCGCCCCGATGAGAGGTTCTACTCTGACTTTCCCACGCACGCGTCGGCGCCGCTATTTTAAATCTAAAAATGCTCGTAATATATATGTGTATGTGTATAAAAGCCGAAACCTGTCGCGTCTTTAAACTCGCCTCGCACTCCACACAGACACACGCGCCAAGTCGAGGCACGAGCCGCTCCGGCTTCCAAAAACAAACGTCGTTTTCATAAAATATTGTATTTACATGCGCGACGCGGAGCAGCTGTCTGCTGGCGCGCGAAAGATCGGCGGCGTCCGAGAGAGACTCCCACGGTACGTGAGAGTACGCAGCACCGACTTGCGAATTGCGCGGAAGATCGTGACGATCGCGTTGCCAAAGAGCTTTTTTTGTTTAAACCCCGGGTTGATCGAGGGAATTCCTTAAATTCTTCATTAATAAGTATATTTCGCTCGAAGGCTTAAAGTGTTGAGCGCACACGTGCGACTGATAAAACATGACTGAATTTTGCGTGTTACGAGGCTGGTAACATCCGGTTATGTTTTTATCAACCGTAAAAAACTACATTGTGTAATAGGAAGCCCTAGTGCGATTCGAGCTAACTCGCTGGTAATTTGATGGCGCGTTAACTAATAATCGCGTTCTTAAAAGCCAGCATGTGATTAGAATTTCTCGCACAATGAGGTACAACTTGCTAAGCTACATGAATAAGTCATAAACAAGAGCTTTAACTTACGTCTTTTTTCATGGCCTCTAGTATAAGACTCTTGAGTTCGTCGAGACACTGATTGATACGTGCTCGTCTTCTTTTTTCCATAATCGGCTTATTACTCTGCAATGAAAAATTGAAACATGTTATTTTTGAGTAATCAGTGAACCACAAATATTTGGGTGTTTCAAAACACCTGAATAAACTCGAATACACGTCTGAGACATTGACACATGCGATGCATATCGTCGGTTAATATACATATATCGCGAGCAAAGCAGCGCGAAACTTGCGCGCAGGTCACGTGCAAGCTCAGCACGTGCAATTTTGCTAATGCCGATCGACGCACGAACTCTAAACGACTCGCGATCGCGTCGACTTTTATCGCGTAACAATTGAATTGCATGCACGACAATAAGGAAGAAAAAAGAAGTTCAATGCTTACCCTTCTCAATTCGGCTTTGGTCATGCCTGTCTGCATTTGAGGCTCGAATTCTTCGTCGCTACCCGACATTTTGCAGCTGTAGTAATCAACCATTTAATTGGCAATAACAACACAAAAAAACTTGATCAAATCTTGATAACTTTCAAGATTATATGCACTCGTTTGTATTTTCGATGCAACCGTTTTACGAATTGGCCTCGAAAATTCCTTTTGCACTTTTGCACACAATATCATATAATATATATGATAACTGATTTGAAGAATATCGTTGGATATCACTGAATATGCTTGCTGAAGTAGCGAGTATATTACAAACACACAAATAGTGACTGACGATAAGCTCGACGTCGAGTTACACACACGAGTGGTATAATAAACAAAAGTAACTTTGGTACCAAGTATGTGTATGTAAGACTTTGCAGGAGCCCGAGGAGAGAAGCTTCGGCTCGCTCGGGGTGCAACGGATAACTGTTTGACGTATCGAGACTCGAGGAACTCATGAGAATATCATACCGATGCAGCGGCATGTGCCGCCGTCGTCGCCACCACTACTCCGACCCCCAATGATTCCAACAGTGTGTATCGTACGGCACTGGGTGGGGGCAAGTGCGTAGCAGCAGCATAGCGACACAGACTACTGCTCAAGGTGGTGCTGTGCTGGTGGTGGTGGGGACTACACGAGCTACGCGAAGCTCTCTTGCAACAACAGGCAATTGCCGCGTTCCTGTAGTATGAGTATGCACACACACGCGCACACAGAGCTCCAAACGAAGGGAAAGAAAAAGGGAGGGGGTCCGAGCGGCTGCTGCTACCCGGCCCTAAAGGAAAGACCTGTTGATGTGTGGGAATTCACGCCGTGTGTTTTCAGACTTTGTTGTGTGTCGATGTCCCATAAGACCTATACGTTGTGTAAGGAGCTATACGTGAATGAGTATGTGTGTGTGTGAGTGTGTGTGTGAGTATACGCTGCCTATGCTCGTGCACGCGCGACCAATGGCAAGGAAGCATTTTTAAAACTCTCCCAGGCTTTGCTCGCTCTCATGCAGCAGCAGCAGCAGCTCAAGAACATCTGCTTAATTTTTCTTATTACCATTATGGCATTGTTTTTTTCTTCGTCCTTTTTCTCTTTCGCTCCTTCGCTTTCTTCCTTGATCAATGAGCCACTCTACGATATGTCAGACGCAACTGCGCAGCGGCAATATTCGCGCTCTTATCTGCCAATTCTCTGCTCGCAGATAAGAGTTTTTGGCGCTTGTCACATACAGCTACCATACCTTATTAGTAAATATTATTTCTAATAACATCATACATGTCGTGCAGCGAATGAAATGATAAAGTAAACGTATGAGTGAACTGAACGCGTGCGGCAAGACGTTTTTTATTGCTCAATGAAAAATTATTGACTTGAATTAACGAAGTAAAATAAACGAATTTAAAGAAGCAAATGTAGCGAGGGAAGAGTTTATCGATTGAGTGATTTTTTTAATACAGTCAAGACAATTATGAATAAAAATGATTCCTCCCTTGAAACAATTGACGAATGACGTAATGATGGGCTGAAACAAGTCACTTTACCAAGGCAAAATGAATTATAAAAATGAAAAAAGTGGTTAACGTTCTCCCACGCAGAAATTCTTCATTTAATGATCGTAAAATTGCATTTGATTTTGTCCCTTGTAATGATAACAAGCATGATTATCATGCAGCTGCTTATTTACAAGTTCAACAATTTTGTTTAAAATTAAACAAAATTTTAATACCGGTAGCCATGGAATAATCGAGAAAGTACGAAAAATTTTAACTCGGCTCGGCGATTCTTCACCCGCGCCATCATTGGACAATGCAATTTCGTTGATACGTAGAAAAACGGGAAACTAAGAAAGTTACTAAGCAAATATAGCGAACAATGAGGAAGTCCAGCGAGTGCGTGCTCGTAATTAAATTTTAATAGTAACGACCGCACGCGTGTACTTGTCGAGCGCGATGCACAAATACTTTTCAATTTCTATGATCGACGTTAGAGCCGAAAGAGTTAAAAGCTATTTCAAGAAATTGATTTTAACTGATTTCGATCATGAATTCTGAAGTACTCGGAATCTTCGAAAGATATGATTGTAAACACACAGAAGCCATAGTAGTAATTATTAGCCATCATCTGCCATACGCTTGAAAACAATAGTGAATTGACATTCTTCAAATTCGATGGACCTAATAAATCTCAGCTCTTCTTCTAAGCCTTCAATCTGTTCAAACAGTCGCGCGCGAGAGAAGTTGCCATACGTGCGTCGGACATAAGCGATCATAGAACGCAGTAAAACTATAAAAAAATTTACGATCGTCCGAGACGAGCTTTGAAATCGGAATTATTAGACGGCACGATGTTTTTTCTTCGCTTTTTTATTATTTTTCACGGGAAAAGTGAAGAAAAAGGCATCATGCCAGACACGGGCTTGACCAACGGGTGACAGTTGAAAGTTCTGCGCCGTATCTACGCGGGGTAAAGTATATCGCAAGTCTTGGAATAAAGCGTGTTACAGATTGAAACGCGTGTGGTCACAGACGAATGGCCTAGCACGAGTCGTGGAACCGCTGTGGTTCCGAACAAAAGGATTTAGAAAACTCATGGTAAATTCGTCAAAACTCGGGATATTGATTAAAAGAAGATGTTAATATTTACGCGATATCGCGTTTGCCGGATGCTTTTAAAGAAACCACGCATATGTGTGACACTGCAGCGGTATTCCATGCGGAGATGTATTAATCAAAATATTTTCTACTCGTGCATTTGTGGCACGCAAGACTCGTGGCCCGCCCGGGCCTTTATGAATATTAATTTTAATAAAAACTCATAACTGAATAATACAGCTCAAAACTCGTATCATGATTCTATGTATGAAAAATCATTCATCATTTTTTGAGGCGACGAAGCTAGTTCATATTCATAATTTTATTAACTTCTATAATCCAATCGAGATGTACACGTGTTTATCGTATGTAACACTGAAATAAGAAACGAACAAGTACCGCAGAACCAGTAGTCGCGACCAAAATATCAAGATATTTCTCTACGGAGGAGATTACTCCAGATAAACTTGTCAACTCGAGCAATGAAAATAAACTCGCGACAAATCAGGATTTGGCATCGTAAATTGTTTTTTTCTTTTTTTTTTCATTCGGCCAATACGAGTTTGCCACTGCGCTACGCTATTTACTCACTTCAGCAACCCTAGCGCGTTTCGAATGGCAAAAAATTCTCTTTCCAACTTCTCTGAAAAAAAAGTTCTAGCGCTAATGGAGCGTATGTAATAAAGAATCTGATAGCGATTTCTTTTAATGAAATAAAAATACAAGCACGGGACACCTGGGTCTGTATTTCAATATAATACCCTTTCTGTTTAACTTCAACGAGTATGGCGATGCAAGTACGCGTTTAAAAATACTTATAAACATATGTCTTTACCGCGCAAAAAAAAAACTATTTGCAGCGATAATAATCGGCAAAAAATTCAACGACGGGTTAGAGCAATAATAATTCAAGAAAAAAAAAGTATGCGACGACGTCGAGTCAAGCGAATGTATGCCTACGAGTCAAAGAGTCTCTCTCTCACTCGTATTTGATGTTTATCATGAAGCACACGTTGTAATACATCGCGTGATACGGAGCTCTGGCGCGGCGCACCAGCTTCAATATACACCCGAAATATATAATATATAAAGCCAAAAATATACAACATCGGACGGAAATTTTGACAAAGGTGTTTCGTAGTCGCTCATAATCTGCACGTATACGTGAAAAGCAATGAACTTTTGATGCTGATTCGCGCGTGACTGCGGCTTGCGTATTTTTCTCTCCTTATTTGTTTAACGAGTGTCGCGATAAGGACTGCACGTGATTAAAAAAAAAAATGTTGACACCTCTTCTATGACGATAAAAATTCGTGCACGGCAGCGGTGGACTCCATTATAGGCTCATAGATGTGTGGTCGAACGCTCGCGATTATCGGCCAATTACTTTCCGAATTCATGACGCTCGATAATTTATTCACGCAAGTGGGCCATGTGGCGTCAAAGGCCTGAGCGTAGCAACACGCTTCATCTCGTAATGTAAGCTAGCGAACGGGTACGTGCATATACTTGTTAGTCGATCGTAGCGCTCAGAGGCATTGTTGGAGCATCATCTGACAACGCTGCGTGCCACACATATACTTCTACACATTAGAGAATGAATAGAAGATTGAAAAGTCATCAGCGCTATGATGTCACATTCTAATCTGTAGGAATAAATTATGGTAGACCCCTGGGTTGCGGTATAATCGTGGCTGACCATCTCATTAGTTCTCGCTCATTGTTTTCGTTTTTACAATTGCAGCATAAACGACATACAGAATTTCCAAACTTTCTCAATGTAGATCAATTATTACCGATAAACGACGTTTCCGTTACTGCTTCACCCGAAGCTGCCGTGATTTTAAAATTATTCTTGCGAAGTTATTGTCATGTAAAATTTGTATTTGAATTGTTAGTAACCAGTCTCTATTTAAAAGAGGTATCGCATTTGATTTAAAAAAAGGTTAAATAAATCTCGTGCATAATAGTGCAATAAAATCTGTATACTTTCATCTATTTTTTGAAAATTTTCTTTTCCTTTGATCAATCCTTTCTATCGATCCTCGAATCACGTATGTATTAGGCTTCATCTGGAAATTTTAAACGACGAAAAAATAATCCTTCCGATCAAGATTGACATTTCTAGTAGCGCGAACAAATTTCTACGTATAAATCAATGCGAAAATATTCTTGAAAAAAAATCTCTCATGGATAAGAAACGTACTCGCGCACCGCCGTACCGCACCGCGTAACGCCACTCTTGAAAAGTTAGTTGGCCGAATCAAGGGAAAGAAAAAAAAATAAGAAGTAGGTATGAAAGCACTTGCCTTCCGTATTATAGTTATATTGAGGCACCCACGCCCTCGTGCTCGAGACTTTAGAATAAGATACACCTGCTCCTCAGATCGTGGGATAGTCTTGAAGGAATAAGTCTTTTGGGAATTTATTTATATACACTTATATGTAATACAGGACACGCAGGAGTGCGAGCCCGCTGAGCGGTATGCCTGTTGTGTCGATTTGCTTCCGTTTCTCCGCAAGAAGATTATATCCAGTCAATCTGGCAAATTCATTCGATTTTTGTGTTAATTTATTCGACTCGTCAGGCACACCGATGAAAATTTTAATACCAATTTCATAAAACTTTGTTCCTTTCTTCGAAGATACGTTCGACAACATCGCTCATCATTTTTTAAAACTTTTCTCATCTCTTTGACTCAAATGACAAATCGAGCGCGGTCGGAATAAATAGGCACGTCTCGAGTCTTTCTGATCTCGTGTCGTCGTCGCATTTGTGCAAAAAAAAAATATATAAAGCGGAGCGTGGACTTTCTAAACCTCCAAGTCTGAAAAACGCGAGCGTGCCTGCCGCGTGCTACACACTGCCGTACTTACGCCAGAATAAAAAGCTTTTTGGCGCGCATCGCGTCGCGCGCGCGCGACATCGCGTGAGATGCAATTGCGCTCGAGCAGCGGTGTATGTAAGTATACGCGAGC